GGCGCGGCCCAGGCTGGCCGCGGCAGACAAGAAGAAGCCGGAGAGAAGCTGCTGTCTTTCGGGGCTGAAGCCGATGCATTCCAGGGCGATGTCGAGGTCGATTCTCGTGTTCAGGGCACTGCAGTGCTCCAGGAGTGCCGCCAGTCCGGCAGGGTGCAGCGCCTCCAGAGCTTCCACCAGCAGTGTCCTGCGTTGGCAGGGGCGGGCGGGGCGATGGCGTGCAGCGCGCAGTGGGTTATGCAGGGATGCGTATGTATGTTGGATATGGTTGCGCACGCATGACTCGACGTGTGTGGGTATCTACAACCCCGGTCTTGTCGTTCGTTTGTGCCCCCCAAAACAGCAGAAATTTGAGACCATCTCATGCATACTCAGCAGCAGCAGGCCCAGGTCATGCGCAACCCCTCGAGCTCTGGGTCAGTTTGATGCCCTCCCTCCCATCACCAGGGCCCCTCCCCCACCGAGACGCCCCACCTGCCCTTCCCCGGCTTGCCTCCCCACGCCGCCGCTTCTGCCGCCTCAAACCTCTCATCGTTGAACAGCCGCAGCCCCTGCCTGGTCACCATCCTGCCAATCAGTGGAGAGGGCCGGCGGTGGAGCTCAGCGTTGTTCAGCAGGCGGAGGGCGGATGCGCCAGGAGCCTGCCGGCAGGTGCTGCGTGGCTCGAGATGACGGCCGCACAACAGAAACACAGAGGGCTTGTATGGGGTTTGGAGGGGTGGAGGGGAGGGGCGGGTGCAGGGGCGCGCGCCCCGGGCTGAAGACAGGCCGGCCGGGGGGGGGGGTGTAGGCGGCTCTGCCAAGGTCAATGCAGGGTTGACCAAAGGGCCCCAGGGGTTTGGAGCCTGCTGGTGTAGGTGCGCCACGGGGGGCGCCTATGGTCAAAATGAAGCGCGCAAGAAGCTCTTCGTTTTGTGGCCAACAGCCGTCGCCGCCCCCTCCCCCGGAGCGCCATCCAGCCGGCTGGTCGGATCCCCCGCATGACTAATGTGCGATTCTCACGTGTGCGTCACCGCCAGCTCCCGCCTCAGCCGCCCCTCGTGGCGCGACTCCGCCACCCCGGCAATCACGTGCTTTACGCACGCCGCCGCCTGCGCCAGCGACGCCGCCGCGAACGCCTCCATCCCCAACGCCTTCCGGAACCCGCAGTCCCCGCCCTCCTCCTCCCCATCCCCCTCATCCCCGCCGCCCCCAGCCGCCCCCAAGACCTTCAGCCGCAGCGCCGGCGGCGCCTGCAGGCCAGCCGCGGCCTCGGCGGCCTCCTCCTCTTCGAGCGCATCCAAAGCCTCCTGCGCGCGCTGCTCAGGGGTGGAGAAGCCATAGGGGAAGCCGCCAAAGCGATCGCCCTTGGCTGCAGAGGGCACGAGCGCCTTGACGCGCCGCGGGCGGCCCCAAGACAGCAGCGCCCGCTGCGGCTCGCCGCCGGCGCCCCCCGCGAACTCGCCGCCGCCGCCGCGCGGCGTCCTGTCGTCTTCCGGCGCGGCTCCTGCCGCCGCGGCTGCGAGCCGGTCCATCAGCTGCTGCAGCCCCTCGGTTACGCCGTCGTCGCCTGCGCCCCAGGCGTTGCTGTCAGCATCAGCAGCGTCCGCTTTGAGTCGGGCGAGGTCCCTGTTCAAACTCCAGGGCGACAGCCCCGCCAGGTCGCCCGCCCCCGCCGCGTTCGGCGCCGGTGGAGCGCCCGCCGTCGCGCCGCCGCGCTCGGCTCCGGGCGGCCAGTCGCGGAGGGGCTGGTCGCGGCGGATGGCATGCCAGGGGCGGAGGGCCGCCTGAAGCAGGTGTTCCACGACCTGGGGGCGTTCGCAGGGTTGGGGAGCGCCTCTGGGCAGTTCACGCAATAAACATATGACTGCAAGGCTAAGTGACACTGCTTTTCCAGGCGTGAGGTAGGGGAGGGATGAGTACTGCGACAGCCTTCTGGCCTGCCGGGCCCCTCAGGCCGAGACTACCAATTCAACTGCTGGATCAATGCAACAGAGCTGAGGTATTTTCCCCTGGCAATCCTGCTGCGCAGACGGCGCCGACGCCGCACCTTCTCCACCGCGCCCCCGGGGATAGCAAGGAGCGACCCGCGCCCTGGCGCGGCCTCCGCCACCGCGGCCGCCAGCGTGGCAGCCGGCACGTTGGGCAGCTGGCCCCGCAGCTGCTTCATGAGCCGCTCGGCCGCGAGAGTCTCGAGGGCATCGATGGCGTCGGCGGCAGACGAGGAGGCACCAAACGCGTGGGGCATGAGCCTGCGTGGCGGCGGCGGCAGCCAGGTCGGGGTCATCAGGCGCCGGCGTTGCCACCCCTTTGGTGCCACCCCGATAGCACAGCAGATGCAGGGTGGTGGCAAGGCTTGCAACACCCAACAAATGCGCCTGATTGCCGCGGCCCCGGGGGCCTCCCGGGGCATTGCTGTTCCAAAGTTTGGAGGGCAGGGCGGCCGCAGCTGGCCGCGGCGCCGCGGCTGGTGTCGTGATGGAAGCGGTGGCAAGGATCGACAGGTTTATCCAAAGGCGCGGCAGGGGGAGTCCTGCTGCTGGTCAGCGGGGGCGGGGCCGGTGGTCGACGCACCCGTGGTACTGCCTAGAGCGCAGCCAGAAGTGCGCAGCGGTGCCGAGCGCCCCGCGGAAGGCTTCCGACTGCGCCACCGCGTCCCAGGCCGCCGCCAGCCCCGGCTGCGGGGTGAGGGGCCGGCCGGACGGGCGGGGGTGGGTGGCGCGGACGGGATTGCGAGGCGGGCTGATGGGGGAGTCGTCAGGTGATCAGAAAGGAGATGCTGTTGATGAGCCAGAGGATGAGAGAGGTTAGGGTTTGGGGCGAGCAGACGGGGGAGGGGGGGACGGCGCGGCTGCGGAGGTGCTGCCGCCATCAAGGCCGCCCACCCCCTCTGGGCAGAAACAGCCGGGAACAACGCGCATGACAATGCACGTGGCTTGGGCGCCCTTGCTGCTGCGTGCACCCGCACCCTTGCACGCACCGAGTTGGCCCCCAGGCGCAGCAGGTGCAGCAGGCGGGAGAGGGCGCGCGCGTAGACCTCTGTCGTGAACACCGCCAGGTCAGACAGCGGCTCCAGGACGGCCTGTCGTGGTGGCGGCAGAGTGCGCGTCAGGTTTGGACGGCTGAGGCCAGACGGAGACGACTCGGGACGCCCAGGGCGCAGTTGCGCCAGTGGAGGGCACGCCATTGTGCGAGGACCCGCTGTGGCTGCTCCAGGCCCAAGCAACACGTGTGCCACAAACTCTGGATTCCAAACCCCAATCCAAAACCCTGAACCCTGGTCTAGTGCAAGCGTGAGCAGGCATCCAAAAAAGGGACCCCTGGCTGGCTCGCCGCCCCAGCCTTGTCAGAAGGGGCGGCCTCAGGCTTGACGGCTGGGGCCGCTCCCCAAGGCAAAGCAGCCACAGCCAGTGGCCGACGACGCTGCATGCGTCGGGACGCAACGCCCCGGCTGCCACCGGCGCGCTGCATTGCGGCTTGGGAAGGGGCGTGCATCCAGCCCTGCCAGCACAAATCCATTGTTCAAACGTCCAACTTGCGCCGCACCCACCTCGGCCTCAGACATGCACCACCTGACCTCCCAGTCAGCCGCCTCCCACAGCGCGCCCGCAGCCCGGCGCATCGCCCCGCACCACCCCGGCGTCCTCGGCCCGCCATCAGCCGCGGGGGTCGCGGGCGGCTCGCCCCGCGCAGGGGTGGCGAGGGAGGCGAAGTCGCGGGCGCGGGCGGCGAGGGCGCAGAGACCTTCTCCTGCCAAGGACTGTGTGGAGTGGCAGCGGTTGTGCGTGCCAGTGGCCAGGTCAAAGCACCGAGGGCCGGCGGGCAGGGCCGGCGGCATAGGTGCAGCGTCAGAGCCCTGTCACACGCGTCCATGGCGATTCATCAAACCTGCACGCGCTGATTACCGAGCGGACGGCGGCACTCCAAAGGCTGACCGATGGAATGCATATTCGCGTGTAGCAGCGCGGCGGCCAGCTTGACCGGCAGCACCGCCCTGGGGTCCTCTCCCGCCCCCTCAAGCGCAGCCGGCACCCACCTCGACAGCCAACCAAGCCCGCCTCACGCGCCCGTGCGCCTCCCCCACGCCCTCGATCCGCAGCAGCAGCGCGACCGCCGCGGACGCAGCCCCCTCCACCTCTGCAGCAGACGACGGTTCCTTCAACGCGCCCGCGTCCCTGCGGCCGCCGCGGCTCGGCGCCGCGTCGGCGGCCGCTGCGCCCTGCTGCCCCGCGCCCGCCCCGGCCAGCCGCCGCCACGCCTCAAGCGCCGGCTCTCCTGCAGCCTCCAGCCCCAGGGCTCGCGCCTCACCGGCGACGCCCTTGGCAAACTCGGCGCACCAGGCCCGCGCCGCGCGGCCCACCGCCGCCGCTGCGTCCGCCCCGCCCCCTGGCTCGGGCTGCCGCGGCGGCCGCGCGCCGCCCTCGCAACCCCGAAGCAACTCCATGCGGCGCAGGGAGCGGCGCAGGCGGGCGGCGCGCGCGCGCAGGAGTCGCGTCGCCGCATCCAGCTGCGGGGCGGTGTGTTTGGGAGGGCAGATATGGGCTTTGTCAAAGCGGGCCGGCTGCCCTGGATCAGGAATTAGGAACAAGGTTGGGCTGTCAGGTCAATCATATGAGACCAGAGGGCTGAGCTCTGGCCTCCGACACAGGACAGCATGGGAGACGCGTGCAGCCGAAAAAAACCCTCCCTGTTTGCTCACGCACGTCTTGTGCAACCGCGTCCATGCAGATCTGCAGCTCAAGCGCGGCCGACGCCGACGCCGCCGCCGCTGCCGCCGCAGCGCCGTGCTCCGTCCCTGCGCGCACGCGGGCATCAGCGCGCGCAGCTGCCGGCCAGCCCCCGCCGGCCGCCACCGCCGCGAGGAGACCGTGCATGCGCTGCGACAGCCGCCAGACGTCCGCCATCGGCGCGGCGTCAAACATCGGCCCCAGTTCAGCGTGCGCGCCCGCGGCCGGGCCGTCCAGCAGCCGCCGCGCGGCGGCGCGCGACGCTGGCAGCGGGGGCGGCGCGCACCACGCGCAGAGCCACAGCAGCGCGCCGCCTGCGCCCGCGAGGGCGACGAGTGCCGGGCCTCCCGCCGCCCCCGCGGCCGCGCCGCCGCACTCGTGCGGCGCCGCCGCAAAAGAGCATCGGCCTGCCCACTCTGTCGCATTGACGACGTCAGCTGAAAGCTCCCGGATTGCCAGCTCCCGCCGCGCGCGCGCCGCCCGGCGGCGGCTAGCGTCGTCGCTGTCGCCGCCGCCGTCCCCCGCGGGGCTTGAGGCGGCGCTGGCTGCATTGGACCCCAGATCACCCTCGTATCGGCTGTAGTCATCCTCCTCCTCCACCTCCTCCTCCTCCTCCTCCTCCTCCTCCTCATCATCATCATCATCATCATACACGTCCGTCTCCTCCTCGTCACCCGCCTCTCCCCCCAACCCACCCTCATCCTCATCCTCATCCTCGAATTCATCCTCATCCTCGTCCTCGTTCTCGTACTGAGACCAGCCGTCCTGATCCACGCCTAACCCACCCTCCCAACCCTCACCCAACGGCTGCGGCCCAAGTCCGTCCTCCCTGGGCTCGCCAAGGCCACAGCTGCTTCCGCCACCGCCGCCGCCGCCGCCGCCATTGCTGTTGCTGCTGCTGCCGCGGCCGCCGCTGCTGGCGCTGTCGCCGCTGCTGGCTCCGTGCGTGAGGGGCGGACAGTCCGCCTGCACAGACCTCAGCACACTGTGGCCCCTCTCACTCCCATGCCGCCAGCTGAACAGCCCCTCATTGCCACCACCTGCGGCCCCGCTGCCGACGCCACTGATCCCCAGACCCTGCAGATCACGCAGATCATGCGGATCATGCAGATCATGCAGATCATGCCTTGCCCCTGCTGTGCTGCCTCCCGGGCCCTGCCCGTCCGGCCTGACCCCGGATTCGTTCCCCATGGATACTCGGGCGTCCGTCAGCGCTTGCGACCGCAGGTCGCGGCCACCCAGTCCTCGCCAGTCAAATGGCAGGGTCTCCCGGCCTGCGTACGGCACCGCCATCGCAAGGAGGCCGGCTGCCGCCGTGTTGGCTGGCGGCGCGACGCCCCGACGGAGGACCCGCGGATCCGACAGCCGCAGGGGGCCGGCAGCGGCGGTGCAGGGGTAGTCCGCGGCTGAGGGGCACCCTTGCCCATCATCCGGCAAGGCGGCGCAGCGCCAGGATGCGCCCAGCTCGTAATCATGAGGATGGTCGACGCCGCCGCCTGACGAGCACTCAGCCGCATGCGCTCCCTTCTCCTGCTGCCCCTGCCCGCCAGCCGGCGCCGCACCGCCCAGTAGAGCCGCGGGCAGCCGGGGGTGCGGCCCGCGCAGCGGCGTGCTATTGCAGGGCTCGGCCCCCGCCGCAGCTGCCGCCGCGGCAACTGCAGCACGGGCGATGGCGGCGCGCTCCGCGGCGACATCCCTCTGACAAAATTGGGTTATCACCCCGAAGCTGTCCCGGGGACCGCGACGCTGCTGCTGCTGCTGCTGCTGCTGCTGCTGCTGCTGCTGCTGCTGCTGCTGCTGCTGCTGCTGCTGCCGCTGCCGCATGGCGCCCTCTTGCAAGGGTCCCGGGGGCTCCTCATCGGAAGCTGCTCCTGCTGCTGCTGATGCGGCGGCGGCGGCGGCAGCGGCGGCGGCCGTCGCCGTCACTCGCTCCTCGCAGTTAAAGGGAGCAAAACCCGCCTCCACATCACCCGAACCCCACCCATCAAAAACATCGCCGTCGCCGTCGTCGCCCGCCCCGCGGACCAAGGGCTGTGCGGCACCCAAGCTCATCAACGGGGCGCCCCGGCCCGGCTGCTCGGGCGCCCCGGGCGCGTCTGCCAGCAGCCCGCTGCGGTGCAGGGCCAACGCCGCGCGTATGCTCGCGACAAACGCCGCGCACGGCAGGGCCCGCAGACCGTCCGCGTCCCACGGCACCGCGGCGGCGGCTGCCTGCGCCTGCGCTTCCGGGCTCAGGCCGAGGGATCGCAGCTCGTCTTCAAAAAACGCCATGGCTGCCTCACCCTCTGCCGCGCCAGCCGCCAGCCTGTTGCCCAGCAGGCGGCAGGTCCTCTCTGCCAGCTCCATGACCCGCCAATCGGGGTCTTCAGCCTGCTCCTGCTGCTGCATTTGATGGAGCCGCGCCGCGCGGACCCTCCGTCGCTGCAGCCGTTGCTGCTCCTGCTGCTGCTGTCGCTGCTGCTGCTGCTGCTCCTGCTCCTGCTGTTGCTGCTCCTCCTCCTGCTGCTGCCGCTCCTCCTCCTCCTCCTCCTCCTCCTCCTCCTCTCCCTCCTCCTCCTCCTCCTGCGGCGGCTGCTCCCGCCGCTGCCACTGCTGCTGTTGCTGCTGCTGCTGCTGTTGCTGCTGCTGCTGCTGTTGCTGCTGCTGCTGCTGCTGCTGCTGCTGCTGCTGCTGCTGCTGCTGCTGCTGCTGCTGCTGCTGCTGCTGCTGTTGCTGCTGCTGGCCCCCCTTCTCACTGCGCTGCTCGTCCTCGACTTCCTCAGGCTCTCGTCCGTCTTTCTCGCCCTCCTCATCCGGCCGTTGCTGCTGCTGCCGCCCTGCCGCACCCGCAGCCGCCGCGCCCGCCCCCGCCGACGCCGACCCCCCTGCATTCACGCCGCCTCCTCGCTCGCTGACCGAGCGCCCACCGCGCGCGCTCCGGTCGTACCGGCGCAGCTCCTCCAGCACTCCTGCGCGCTTTTCAAGGTTCAACGTGTAAAGCACCAGATTCGCAATCCCATAGATTGATGTGTCCCCCTGCGCCGTCCCAACGTCGTCGCCCTCACCCCCGCCGCCCCCGCCGCGCCGCCGCCGCCACACGCCGCGCGCCGCTCGTCGCGCCGCGTCCGCGGCGCGCGCTCGCATGTCCCCTGATTTTGCGCGTGCGTCGGCCAAGGCGCCGTCGACAGCTGTCCCTTTGGAGCCCGTTGCGCGGTTGCCCTCGAGCCGAAGGATCCGTGCAGCCGCGGCCTCGCAGCGGCCGAGGTGGGCTTCAATATCGACGGGGGGTGCCTGAGACGATTCCTGTCCAGAGCACTTGGACTGCAGCTGCAGCGCCATCTGCGCGGACACGCCCTGCGCAAGCAGCCGCGGCCGGGCCGCCCACAGGTACCGGAGCCAGCCCTCAATGGCCCTCGCCAGCGCCGCGCTGCCGGGGCGAGGGGCGGCGCCGCCGTCTGCGGATGATGGGGAAGCGGCGAGCTCGGGCAGGCGGCGCAGCAGCTGGAGCTGGCGCCGTTGCAGCAGCAGCAGCGCGGGACCCAGCGACTCTGGGGGCGTGCGGGCGGCAAGGCAGTCGCGCCGCAGTTGCGCCATCAGGCCGCCCGTGAGCACCTCCAGGGTCACCCCCAGGAGGGCCAGCGCCTCCTGTTGCCGCTGCTGCCGCTCTGGCTGCTGCTGCTGCTGCTGCTGCTGCTGCTGCTGCTGCTGCTGCTGCTGCTGCTGCTGCTGCTGCCGCCGCCGCTGCTGGACTCGGTCTTTCAGCTGTCCTTTTGGCGCGCCTGGATTATCGCTGCTGTTGCCCCACAGGCTGCCGCTATCATCGCCGTCGTCACCCCCGCAGCCTGGGGCACACCAGCCGCCGACAACCGGCGACAGCATCGCCCCGAGCTGCGAGAGCGACTCGGGCGGCGGCTGCGGCGGCGCGGCGGCGCCTCCTTCGGGGCCGGCGGCGGCCCAGGCGGACTGCAGCAGCCGCCAGAGGGGCTCCAGCAGCGGCAGGCCAAAGGCGTTGGCCAGGCGGCCGACTGCGGGCGCCGCCAGCAGCTCGTGGTGGTGCAGGTGCCTCAGGGCGGACAGGGCCTCGCTCTGCGGGTGGAGGCGGCGCGGATGGCAGCGAGCAAGTCCTGCCCACTTCAGGCGGAGACGCTCAGGCCCTTGCACCCGTCCCCCAAGCAAGGCTTCAGTATGAAGGCTCGTGTCGTTCCAGGTAAAAGGCTCAAGGCAATTGCAGAAGCAGCCTCGTGCAGCAGAGGATCATCCACACGTGACATTATTGTTCATCTGCACGGCGCGCTGTGACAGCGGCAATCAGCACTCCGCTGGCGCCCCGCTTATGGCGTCTTGGACCTGCCGGCCCCTGCGTGATGTCCATGGGCCCCCATCGGCCCACATGCAAGCACGGCCCGCGCCAACCCACCATGTCGCCGGGCGTCACGCCTGGCTTCACGAACAGCAAGCCGCACTGCGACTGGAGCAGCTTCCGGGCCTCCCAGTCCGGCTGCTGCCGCTGCCGCTCGCTCCCGCCCCACCAGAGGTGGCCCCCCCTGCCACAGCTGGCCCGTGTCGTCCCCATGACCGAGGCAAAGAGCTCCTCGCTCTCGGGCAGCCACGCGCAGGAGTGCGCGACGCGGGTCTCGAGCAGCAGCAGCGGCGGCAGCTCACAACGCGCCTCCGCGGCCGCGTGGATGCCAGCCAGCTGCGCCAGCGCCAGCAGCGCGGACGCGTGCAGCGGCGTGTCGACGCCGCTCGTCGCTGGAGCAGCGCCTGCCAGGGGGGAGGACGGGCATCTGCGGGCGCGGCACAGGTTGCGGGCTCAGTAGGGCGGGATGTGAGCGGCCTGCCTACTCTCGACAAGGCAGGCCGCTGCAACAGGGGTACTGGCAAGACAATTATTTCTCATGGGGGTTGCTGTCCCTTGTGTCCCACTTGAAGTCCACAAGAATCTGCAATCCAAGACAGGGCCCAGTCAGGTGCGCACCAGCTGCCGGCTCGGCTCAAAGATTACTCAGCTCACCTGTCAACCACACAACGTTCCGGCGCCCACAGCGCTGCCAGCAAGTCTGATATGAGCCACCACTGGTGCTGGGGCCTCAGGGACGCAAACAGCGGCTCGCAGCACGCCTCAGGGTACGGCCACGCGGCGCAGCTGCCGCCCCCGCAGCCGTCATCGTCGCCACGGCCGGCCGCCGCCTCGGCGGTGGCGTAGTAGTGGCAAGTCGCCGCGTGCAGGAGCACCTTTGCTACGGGCGTCCTCTGCCCCTCTGGCAGGCCCAGCAAGTGTCCAAACCCGGGCTCGACGGCTGCGCGCGCTGCGGTGGTGCTGCACCACAGGGCAAAGACGCCGGGGTCGTGCGCCGCCAGGCGCGCCGCCTTGAGCGGGGTGATGTTGGGCGGCAGGTTCTCCTCGAACGCGTCGGTGGCAGCGCGGCACGCAATCTTGGTGCCCTTCAAGTGCTCGAGGCTGGCCACATGTAGCGCACCTGGATGCCATGCGGCCAAGGTCCATCAGTCCAAGGAGCCCGCCGGCGGCGGGAGCGTTTCATCGCGCAACGTCTTCAGCACTCCATCAGGACGCAGCAACCAGTTACAGTACTTCTCAGCTGTCACAGCGACCCGTGCCCACCTCTGTCGAGGGCTTGCAGCCAGGCTGCGCGCTCGGTGGGGTCGGTGTAGAGCCTCCGCGTCTGCCGTGCAAGAAGTTCTGCGACGAAATTCATATCTCAGGGCTCTATCACTGCGTGGGCAGAGCAGCGCGAGCCATACGCTCCGAGTCAGGCAGCGTAAGATCAAGATCACCTAGGGGCGCCCGTATCACATTAAACATTGAATATAACAGTCGATTCGCATTGCTGAGCGTGAATCAGCGGCATTAGAAACCAATTCATGGCTTGTGGCATGGCACCAACTGACACAAACTGCCACACACACAGTCTGCTTGTTGCCACAGCGATAGAATGCCCCATGAAGGATGTGTGGGGTTGAATCGTGATGGTAACAGACAAAATTACGTTAACACCCGCATGTCAGCACTTTACAGCACTAATCTCCGCCCAAGAGACAGAAGACAAGCAAGGGATGTAATTTCGTGGCAAATTCAAGCCCAGGCTGCCCCCTCCCCCCGCTCCGACTGGCTGGCACCCATGCTCTGCCACTGCTGCCGTGAGGCTCGCCGCCAGTCCCAGGGCCCAGCAGTGCATGGCTTTTTTCAGAGTCCCCAGAGACTCCTGACGCTCAAATCGGATTTTCACAGCCACTGTAGCAGCAGCCGAGGAACTGCCGCTTGGGCGGCTGCTGACGAAGCCCACCAGGCCATGGCCCACAAGTGCCCAGAACACCACAGACATGTTTCCATTTTTGTGCGGCCGCCGCACCCGTTTTGGAATTTGAAAAACATTTCATCAGTGGCGCGTGAGTGAGAGCGCTGATTGCCGCGCACCCCATATTTCTGGACGATGACGACAGAGTCATGCAGGCACCAGCCATTGCATGTGTTGCAGGATCTGAGCGCTTTGCAGGGGATGCATAACATCGCGGCATCAAGGTTGTGCCACGGCTCCAAAAGAGCCCGGCCCAGCGCATGCCCGCTTGCTCCAGCCTCCTCGCATCGTCAGAGCGGCGCAGCGGCGCCGCCGCCCTCGCCGCCTCGCAGCTCCGCGCGTTACAGCGGCAACGGCCCCTCCGGCCCAATGATGCTGCCTGTGCCGCGCCATGCCTCGAGTGAGTCGGCCTCAGTCCAGGGGGTCACGCGCGGCTCCATCAGGGCAAAAAGCACTCGCGACTGCGTTGTTTTTGGACGGGTGGTGCAAGACTTTGGGTCCAGGTTGAAGGGGATCAGCCATGCAGTGAAGCTTCACAGGTGGGTGCAGGCCAGCCGCTCACCGCGCCGCACTATCCAGCCCACAAAACGCCCCCAGGGCCCCTGCGGTTCCGGTGCATGCGTTCAGGGGGCTGCGGCGCGCACCTTGCCCTTGCCAACCTGGATGCCTCCACCCTGCGCGACCAGCTCCAGCCGCAGCACCGCGGGGCCGCCGTCTGGCAGCGGCCGGCGCGCGGCGGGCGCGAACGGCAGTGGCGGCGGGCCGGGGGCCTTGCGCCTGCGCTGCAGGCGGTCCGGCTGGAAAGATTCCAGGTACCTGCAGGTATGTGCAAGATAGGCGGGTCGCGCAGGGGGCGCTGCCTGGAAAACTCCGACTGCCGCATTGCTCATTGCTTGCCCAAAGGGATAAAGGCGGCAATGGGGGCGCGCCGCCAGCTACCCGGCCGCAGGGAGCAGCCAGGCCCAGTAACCTTGCAGGGTCTGGCCAAAGGCAAGCAGGGCGTATAAGACAACGTGGCGCTCGCGGCAGCCCACCTGTCCTGCTTGGCCGCAAAGCCCGGGCCCCGCAGCTCCCCCGCGAGAGGAAGCTTCCCCAGCGCCGCGGCTGCCGCCGCGTCGCAGGGCGTCGCGCCGAGGGTGGCGCCGGTGGAGGGGTCGACCAAAACTTGGTACACTGCGCGCAGCGCTGGTCGCCACTGCTGCTGCTCCTGCCCCTGCTGCTGCCCCTGCTGCTGCTGCTGCTGCTGCTGCTGCTGCGCGCCGCCTTGAAGCAATGCAGCCGGCGTCACGGCCGACGTGACCGCGGCCTGCTCCTGCCGCTGCTCCTGCAGCGTATGGGATTGCTGCCGCCTGAACCACCGTGTAAGCCATCTCAGCCTCCCAGCGCGCCTTGGCTGGGCCTGCGTCTCTTGCTGCCGCTGCAGCTGCTGCTGCTGCTCCTGCTGCTGTTGCTGCTGCTGTTGCTCCTCCAAGCGCGCTGCTGCAACGCTCGACTGTTGCTGCTGGTGCGCCATGGGGGGTGTCGGCCCCTGACCCTGCTGCCCCTGCTGCTTCTGCCCCTGCTGCTGCTGGTCCCACGCCGCCACGTCCTCCCCACCAAGCTGCAGCCAGACGCGGCCGCGCACCTTCCCAGCAACTGCCTCGCAGACCTCTGCCATCTCATGTGGCGCCAGCCTTCCGTTTGCCGGCCGCGGGGGTGCTCGTTGCTGCTGCTGCTGTTGCCCTTGGCCTGGACCTAACAGCGACGCCGGCCACGGCAGTCGTTGACCAGCGACCGCTGCCGCCTCTGGAACGCTGCTCGAGCTGCCGCCGGCGGCGGCTGCCGCCACGCCGGCCTGCCGCGAGTCCTGCGCCCTGCCAAGCTGCACAGTGGCGGCCTCGTCCCGCCGCATCACCCCGCGCCCCGGCCGCACCACCGCTACAACAGGCAGCGCCAGCAGTGCCGCCACCAGCGCCGCCTGCGCAGCCCCAGCCGCGGCCCGGGCGGCGCGGCCGGCGGCGGCGCGCAGCCGGGAGGGCGGCGAGAAGCTGGCGGGCGGCTGGCGCAGGAGGAAGCTGCCGGGCAGCTGCCCCACCACGTCGTCGAGCGCGGCCACCAGCGACTCCGCCTGCTCCCCTGACAACAAGACCTCCTGCTCATCCGCCGCCCCTGCTGACCCTTCTGCCCCCGTCTCGGCCCCCGCCACCGAAACGCGGAGGCCGCCCGCCCCGCCCGGCAGCCGCTCCACCCGCACCAGCGCGCGGCCCGCCGCCGCCGCGTGCCCGCCCGCCCCTCCCTCCAGGGGCGCCAGCCCCGCGCCCGAGAGCGCCGACACCAGCCCCTGCAGCAGCTGCTGGGCGCCGCCCGCCCCCAGATCGATCTCCCGCTCCAGCTCATCCCCGGTGGCAGGCGCCGGCGACGCGGCGCCGGCGCCGGCGCCCTCCTGCTCCCGCTGCTGCTGCTGCTGCTGCTCCTGCTGCTGCTGCTGCGGCGGGGTTGCCCGCGGCGGCTCCCGCTTCAGCGC